CTCTACCTCTTTGGGTTTTTTTAGAGATTTTACTATATACATATAAGGAAAATCAATGACCCCCCCCCCCCCCCGGGGAAGGGCCAATTTTGACCCCAGGGCTTTTATTTGAACAAACTTGGTAGACACTCATCAGACAATGTTTCATGCCAAATATTTAAGCTCTAGCTCTTTCAGTTTTTTAAAAGAAGATTTTTTAAGGTTTTACAATATACATATAAGGAAAAGCTATGACCCCCTGGGGCGGGGCCAATTTTGACCCTAGGGCTTTTATTTGAACAAACTCGATAAACACTCACTAGAAGATGTTCCATGCCATATATCTAAGCTCTACCTCTTTGGGTTTTTTTAATAGAAGATATTTTAAGTTTTTTCTTTCGGTTGCCATGGCAACCAGAGTTCTGCATCAAATTAAATTCTTTGAACAGTTTTAAAAGGTGACCACCAAAGGAACATTCCTGTGAAGTTTGGATAAAATTGGCTTAGCGGTTTACGAGGAGATGTCATTTAAAGTAAAAGTTTAAGGACAACGGACAGACAGACGCCGGATGAAAAGTGATCACAAAAGCTCATGTCACCATGTCACTTTGTGACAGGTGAGTAAAAATAAATAATAAAATGAAAAACCCAAACAGTCTGCTTATTTGATTTCAAAGATATTAAAAATTTGAAAATGTCATGTGTTGAATATAAACTGAGAACAGCTTGTACTTTGCTTTTTGAAATCTGTTTACTGATATATATTACATGTCTTTCACTCAGTGACTTTTACATGTATTTTCATATCATTTTTATGTTGTCCCAAGTGCAAGTATACAATTAATTATATTGTGGAATTATTCCTGACGTGATGACACATTTCTAGCTTTGTATTTTTATGCACCTGAAGATGGTCATAATAAAGTAAAAACTGGAAATTAAAGCTTTTTGTATTTGTATATTTATCTTTAAGTGTCAGGGGATGCAGCCCTCTGATTTTAGTTAGCTTTGGTTTATGAATGGTTCATGAACAACAATTTGGCCATTGTTCATGAACAACAATTTGGACACAGTTCATGAATTGGATTCATGGAATCAGGTTCATGAACAGTTCATGCATAAATTTGTACAAATTGTTGTTCATGCACTTTTCAAGAACTGACTTCATGAATTATTCATCAAATTCTCGACATTATGTGACCTTAAATTCAACAAAACCAACAATAATCTCTGGGGAAAAAGCAAGTTCAAAGGTCAGTAAACACCATCAATATTTAAGCTATCTTTATAGCTTCCACACTTGAAAGAATTCAACATTTTCATTCATGAACTGCTTTTAGTCCAGTAAGCAAGTGATTCAAAACATGACAACCTTAACAAACAGCTGCCTTCATGTCTATACACATATATGTATAATTATATAAAATACATTTAAGCAAAAATAGGAATAAATTTTAAAACAAAATAAATACATATACAATGATGAGCCATATCTAGGCAAAACATGTTTTGTACCTTTATTAATAATAGATATTCAATTGCATATAAAGTCAATACATTTTTTTATATCTTTAATATAATCATTAAGTGCGCTTCACAAAGATTATCAAAATTTACAACTTAACATTCATTAACAAGTTTAAAACTATATCTAATTGCAAAAACAAGATTTTTTCTTATATCTTAATAGTTGAGCAAAGATTTCGTACTGACATACATTGTAGTTTGCTTGTTTTTCAATATTATAACAATGTCAATATTCCTCATATTACACATATTCATTATAATACAGCATGCTAGATATCTATTGGATGATTATGATGTTTATATATTACATATAATTGATCATGGCTATTGGTAATTCATAGCAACTTTCAAGGAACTCAATTGAGGTCAAAAAGCCTAAAGACAAAGTTTGAAATTCTTACATAGATTCAGTAAAGCACTCAAAATGGAATAATTTGTCTGAATCAAATGGTAAATTTATCTCTAAAAAAATACCATTTCCAATCACGTCATGTAAAAAAAACACAGTTGAGTGCCTTTAAAGGATATAAAGATATATCTTATGATTTTATTTTTAATTTATAAACAGTAAAATTATGTTGGTTGGATAATCTTAAGGTGACTGGTCAATTTTCCAAAAGGGATGTAAAATAGAATTTCTCTGTTTAACACACATCAATATTGTTTGTAAAGAGACTAAAATGATAACCAATATATTTATAATAATTATGTTGCTATTAATGAGTATTTTAAGTATGGTTTTAAACATTTAGCAATGTGTTTGTCAATGATTACATGCATGTGCCATCATCACTCTTAAGGAAATACATAATGTAAACACATTTTTTTCATATAGGAATTTTAGAAGTGTTCTTTTTGTAAATAAAAAAAACAACAATTTTTGAAGCCGATATTTAGCTTTATACATGTTGAGGTAATACATAATATCATACAATTGCTGGTGAAATTTTAAGTGTTGGTGTGACGTGAAACCAAGCAAATACAAACAAAAATCTAATGAAAGTTTCAATGATACAACAAGAAATAAAAACACAAAATTAATTGTGAGCTGGATGCTTTCTAAAAATACTTTACAATATATAGAATAAAATTTGACAATTTGACAAAACAAGAGGGCCATGATGGCCCTGAGGTCGCTCACCTGTATATAGCCCCCCCCCTCCCCCCGTGCCAATGTTTACCCAAGGGCTTTTATTTGTTTATCTGAACAACTTGGTAGACACCCATAAGAAGATGTTTCATGCTAAACATCTAAGTTCTAGCTCATTGGGTTTTTTAAAAGAAGATTTTTTAAGTTTTACTATACACATATAGTTAAAAACAATGACACCCCTGAGGCAGGGCCAGTTTTGACCCCCGGGCTTTAATTTGTAGATATTTACTTATGGATGTTTCATGCTTAATATCTAAACTAAAGCTATTTGGGTTTTTTTTTCAAAGAAGATTTTTAAGTTTTTTGCTATACACATATAAGGAAAAATCAATGACCCCCGGGGCGGGGCCAGTTTTGACCCCAGGGCTTTTATTTGAACAAACTTGGTAGACACCCATTAGAACATGTTTCATGCTAAATATCTTAGCTCTAGCTCTTTGGGTTCTCTAAAAGAAGATTTTTTAAGTTTTTACTATATGCATATAGGGAAAATCAATGACCCCCTGGGGCGGGGCCAATTTTGACCCCAGGGCTTTAATTTGAACAAACTTGGTAGACATTCACAAGAAGATGTTTCATGCCAAATATCTAAGCTCTAGCTCTTACGGTTCTTTAAAAGAAGATTTTTTAAGTTTTTACTATATGCATATAGGGAAAATCAATGACCCCCCCCCCAGGGCGGGGCAATTTTGACCCCAGGGCTTTTATTTGAACAAACTTTGGTAGACACTCACTAGAAGATGTTTCATGCGAAATATCTTAGCTCTAGCTCTTTGGGTTCTTTAAAAGAAGATTTTTTAAGTTTTTACTATATGCATAATAGGGAAAATCAATGACCCCCTGGGGTTGGGCCAATTTTGACCCCAGGGCTTTTATTTGAACAAACTTGGTAGACATTCACTAGAAGATGTTTCATGCCAAATATCTAAGCTCTAGCTTTTACAGTTCTTTAAAAGAAGATTTTTTAAGTTTTTACTATATGCATATAGGGAAAATCAATGACCCCCCTGGGCGGGGCCAATTTTGACCCCAGGGCTTTTATTTGAACAAACTTGGTAGACACTCTTTAGAAGATGTTTCATGCCAAATATCTAAGCTCTAGCTCTTATGGTTTTTTAAAAGAAGATATTTAAAGATTTTTCTTTCGGTTGCCATGGTAACCAGAGTTCTGCATGGAATTAAATTCTTTGAACAATTTTTAAAGGTGACCACCAAAGGAACATTCCTGTGAAGTTTGGATGAAATTGGCTCAGTGGTTTATGAGGAGATGTCATTTAAAGCAAAAGTTTACGGACGGACGACGGACGGACGGACGACGGACGGACGCCGGACGAAAAGCGATCACAAAAGCTCACCCTGTCACTTTGTGACAGGTGAGCTAAAAATACAAAAATCTAAATAAGTGATTCCACCAACAATTAAACAGCATAAAACAATATTGATGTGTCTGAAATTATAGTAGAATATTTGTTTATATCTTGATAAAAATCATATCAAAGTATGTAAATTAAAAGAATGAATATCTTGTAAATGTTTGATTAAGCAATTGACTCATAATCATGACGTGTAATTTTACCAGCTAAAAAAGGCAAATAAACTATCTGAGGAAACATATTAATATTATTTTCTAGTGTAAATTGTTAAAAAAAATTCTGGATAATTCTGGTAAATTGTTGCCAATTCCAGTATTTTGGTTGATTCCAGTTTAAGTTGTGTAACTCTTTTCTTCTGTATAATTCATCACAAAAGTTGTGCAACCTTTATTAAGTAAACTAAGATCTGACTTCAAGACGGATGTCACAAGACCAACCATTCTTTACTTCACTAACACCTGCAGCTAAAAACGTTATATCACCATGGAACATTCTTACCTGTACCTCATCAGCTGTCGACAGCACAAGATTTACTGGTTTTAAAAATAACTTCAGCACTAATGGCATCTTACAATTATTAAACGCCTCATAAACAACCCCTGCTTTGTTAGATTGAGAAACTACATATAAACACTCATTGCCACTAATACTAATAGAGGTAATGTTTTCTTTTAAATCGTTATAAAGAATACTGTCTAAAACTTTGTCAAGATCTATGTCATCTAATGCTGTCTTTTGAATATCTTCAATATCGCTGTTACATATACACAACTTCAAATCGACTCCGATATCTGAACAGTTTGAGTATTTCCCGTAAGGTGTTATTCTGTCAAAATTACCCAATGCAAAGCTCGAGTCTTCTGTAATACGAATACTTATGAAAAATATCTTGTCCATAGTTTGTCCGTCTGTTTGCACGTACAGGTCCATCTTAGACATTTTAGAGTGATCCTGTAAATAAATATCACCAAATAGAGTAATACAAATTCTAAATATTGCACACTGATAAAGAACATTTACTGGAAGGTTTCACAGGATCTTTTATCAATATACCATTTAAAGACAAGCAATTAGTAAAGTAATTGCAAGCAATACAAAAGTCCCATACCAGTTAAAGAGCCACACAAGAATGCATGGCCATTTAATTATGCCACTGTGGAAGACATGAATGAACTTTTGAGTTCTTTGGTAAATCTTCAAGATTTGTCCGCATCGTTATAATGTGTTAAGTCTCACTCTCCGTGCCTAATAAGGAAATTATGTTTATACAACAAACAATCTATGTAAAGCTACTGTTTAAAAGGGACTCCACTGAGTTATGAATCTTGTCACATAACATGTGGTAAATGATAAGGAGCATATATTTGAAGTATGAAGTTGATCCCTTAAGAAATAGAAAAGTAACAGTTAAAAATAGTATTTTTTAAGGAAAATTCTAAGTTCAAGAGGAGATAAATAAAAAAATATTGGTGCTAGAGTACATAAGATGTAGTTAATGGTAAGGAACATATATTTGAAGTATGAAGTGGATCCCTTAAGAAATAAATAAGTAACAGTAAAAAATAATATTTTTCAAGGAAAATTCTAAGTTCAAGGAGAGATAAATCTGAAAATATTGGTGCTAGAGTTATGAACCTTGTCACATAACATGTAGTTAATGGTAAGGAACATATATTTGAAGTATGAAGTTGATCCCTTAAGAATAGAGAAGTAACAGTTAAAAATAGTATTTTTTAAGGAAAATTCTAAGTTTAAGGGGAGATAAATCTGAAAATATTGGTGCTAGAGTTATGAACCTTGTCACATAACATGTAGTTAATGGTAAGGAACATATATTTGAAGTATGAAGTTGATCCCTTACGAAATAAATAAGTAACAGTAAAAAACAATATTTTTTAAGGAAAATTCTAAGTTCAAGGGGAGATTTATCTGAAAATATTGGTGCTATGTCACATAAGCTGAAGTTGATGATAAGGAACATATATTTGAAGTTTGAAGTTGATACCTTAAGAAATGAAAAAGTTATAGTGAAAAATATTTTACTGCACCAAAACTTTAATCTGAAATCTGAACGCGGACGCCGGGGCGAGTAGGACAGGACAGCTCTCCATATACTTCGTATAGTCGAGCTAAAAATCAAGCAAAATTTAGACATTTGACCTTGAAGTTTAAGGTCACTTATGAATGAAAGTCAAAGCTAGTCTGGTCTACTAAAAGGTCTTGTGCCAAGGGTTGGTGTGGCCAATTATAAAGACAATACACCAAGAACTTAATAAGTTATGATGTCAAGAATTAAGTTTGCAGAAGGCAACAGCAATGCCGAAGTGAGTTTAACAAAACCTCTATTTTTTTTTTCAAAAACAAGTTGAGCTAATAAAAATGGCAAAGACAAGCATTATTTCATTATTCTGTGGGTCAATAATAGTGGAAATTGAGTATTTTTAAATTAAGAGGGACTTATGGGAATAATAAAATTTACTAAGAGAAACTTAACAGGACGCATACAATCAAAGCTGTGTAATATTTATAAAACAATGACTTTATCAGGGTTCTATATTTTTGGAATTTTTGTTGGTTTTTGTAAACATGTTTTAAGATGTATTTTTTATTTAATGAGGAAGTTGCAAGTTTATGCTCCTTTCCAAAAATAATTAAGCAAATAGACCCTGTTCACGATAAAAAAAAATTAATAAGATGCAAATCATTTCACTGAAATGAATTACGAATTGAAATAATACACAGATATTTTACTTCAACATTACTGGTTTATTGGTGGAAAATATGTTAAAATTTTATAATCAAAATTTTTGTTAAACCAAATATACGAACTACTTAAATCAAAGTATAAAGAATGTCATAAGCATTAAGCAATGGTTACTTTTTTCCCATGCACAGATAATATACAGTCATATATGTGTTTTTATTATTACATTTATAAGTTGTATGGCAATTAAATATCAAATATAAATGTTATATATGCCACAGATTGACAATGTGCAGATTGATTTGGGCTCAAACCCAGGACCTCCGGAATACTGTTCCAGGACTCTTCCATTTGAGCTATCCAGCAGCGAACATATTTTCTCATCCAATAAGTGAACAGACTGTCCCATAATCTCCTCAGTGCTTTATTGAAATTCCTCTTTATATTTCGAGGGTTACAGAGCCATTCTCATTGTCCTCCGACGTATAGGCATTTACACCTCACTATCAGTGCCAAATGTCACACAATGAGGATAAAGTTCAACCTGACTGGGGCTCTTAACCCAGGACCTTAGTTAACCCAGGACCTTCGGATACTGTTTTGCAGGTTTATGGAGTGAGCTATCCTTCCTCTTTGTCTGCCAGTTACACTCTGGACGAAAGCTTTACTTTTTATCTTTTCCTCAGTACTTCATATTATATCCTGCAAAGATTCAATTTGCAAGATTTAAACATCTAAATTTTTGTATAGATAAGAACAAAGAAAACTCCTAATTAGGCCAGCCTGAACATTATCTGTGTTTCCCCTCCCGCGACCCAAATCAGTTTGAGTAGGTAAGGTTAGGTAAATACAATATTTCTTTTTATTCAAAATATTATTTTTCTATCTATTCTAAAATTATATGGAATTCAAACCAAATTTGTGAATGTTTAGCAAACTTACTAAACTTCTAAATTTAAAATCAAAGTGTCAACATCGCCCCGTCCCAGCAAAATTCCTATATAATATTCCTATATAATATATATTGTTCTACCTCGGATCGCTTGATTACCGAACAGAACAGAACTGGACGGTTTCAATTACAGCCTTGGTGCATGTAAGGTTAATTTTAACAGTGTTATCTATTTATAGAATGATACTTGTATGTGTGTTTATTTTAGTAAATGACTACAAATAGATGCTGCTGTAAATTTTTTATATATATTTCATTAATTCATTGTTTAAAATAAAATTCATCAAAACATAACATATTGTTCAACAAGTTTGGAAAATGATTGCCTAATCGAACTCAACCAATCAACGAACTTAACACAGTGTACTGTTTATTGATACGCATTTGAAAACACTGGGATAAAAATTCTAAATATTTAGAAGAAATGACATATCTGATAAACTGATATACTTAAAAACAATTATATTGACGTATTTATCATTTGACCAATGTAAGGTGGAAAACCGTTAGCCTATATCCTACCTGATAATAGTTCAACCTCGATTGGCTCGAACTATCGATCTCTTAATGCACAGGCCCTTCTAGTTTGAGCGAACAAAGTTTGATTGAATATATTATCTTTTTTTGCTAGGCAATACTATTTTTGGTAGCTGTGATTTTTGTGCGAAGGTAACGGCAGGGGAAACAAACAATATTTTATTTTCTGCCATAAGAACTTGACTTAGAACAGAGTAAGGTTGATTGTACATCAATTCTCCATAACATAAGTTCACTATAAAATGCTTTGAAACATACTCCATACAAAATGAAAAGGCTTGGGCAATTTTGTTTACAATCTTCAAATAAAATCCTTGCTCAAAGAATACTTTTAGATAAATTCATTTCAACATAAGAAATGTTCATTCAAATTTGAAATCATCCCAAAACCATTAAAGCAATGTTTAAAAAAACTTACAAACTTACTCTTTGAAAGATTTGTCTATAGCCCTGGCTCTCTCTTTATATCTTGTAACAAGACCGTCTTCTGACCTATAGAATAAATTTATTACACTTTTTCAAGCAACAGCTTTCTTACAAATGTTATTTTTCGAAAGGAGTCCTTCTGACATTATTAGTTAGGTATATATTTTTTTTTTCTCATCATACTAACAACCCATAAAACAATTAATTTATTTTCCAAAATAAAAAGTTAATTTATTGTAATCCAATTCTAAACAAAATACAAAAGCTTTAAAAAAACCCCTAAGGGAAAGGAGGGCAACTCCAAAAAATACCAAAATAATTTGTTCCTTTTTCAAAAAAAACCCCTTTCTTAAGAATTTTTTAAATTTTCAACTAAAGAAGTCAAAATATTTGAAAAATCAAACATAAAAAGTTTAAAAAAATTAAAATTCAAAATTTTGTTATTATCTTTTTTTTTAATTTTGAAAAAGACCTTTTTCTGTTTTTATTAAATAATTTTTTAATTTTAACCGTTCTAACAAAAAGTTATTTTGCATATTTTGACTTATAATTTTTAGTAATAATTTGTATGGCCTTTTTATACATCCCTTACAATTAAATTTAAATTTTTTAAACCCTAAAATTATTTATGTTGATCTTTTTCAATATTTTAATGAAAATTCAATTTTTTTATAAAATTACTTTTTAAATCTGGAAGGCGTGTTTAAAAGGCTATTAAAAATTTTAAATACCTACAGAACCTCTTTAAAGTGACATGCCTCCAGATTCATGCTTAATTTCATGAAAATTGAGAAAATGAATTTAACGGTTAAATATTGTAAAGTGAACTAATTTTCACGTTTCAAACAACACTAAAATCCTCATTAATTACCAAAAAACAGGTCACAATTATGTTGAATATCCCTTACTGTGTTGTCCTGTAGTAGAAATAATATGTTGATAAATACGGTCAAAATCAGTCATCATATGCATATTATATTAAGTTATCAATATTCCATTGAGAATATTCTTACTTTAACTCTTCATTCATTTCTCAAGTTTGAATTTCATTAACTATTCTTGCTCATCTGGAGGTGTGTAGCTTTAAGATTATTAGAAAATAAGTATTTTCTATAAAGGTTTACCTATTACTATTTAAGGTAGTCATACTGTAATGCATTCTAACATAAGCCAATATTGTATTAAATTGGTTTTTTCCCCCGAACGTTATTTTTCACAAATCTTTGGTATTTTAACATTATTTTTAACCGTTAGTACCGTAATTTTCTAAATAGTGATAAAAGATGATTGTTAATAACCTAATGCCCAAGATTTTGGAAAAATTCCGTTCCAGAAATGATCGATAATATGCTCTGATATTGGCTGATGTTAGAATTTTTGTGGTGGGAAAGCATAATTACAGAAAGTCTACCTTAATATTGTCCTGACCATTGAACATCTAAATTATAAAATATATAAAATATGAGTTACCATTTAAACCTACTTACAAATAATTTATAAGTCTTTAAATTATGTTGAAGTTTAAAGCCACATCATACATTCATTATATGGAAAAAAATAACTTGATTTTTGCTAGCCAAAACTTTACAATAAATATTACAAACCCTTCATTCGATCAGATATATCAGACACTGGAAAAGAGTGGGTAGCTGCCTCCTCATCAGAAGGAAATGAATGATCTTCTTCTTTTACTACGAGTAGGATTGGTGTTTGTGTACATTCTTCCCTTTTACTTCGTAGGTGTTTGCTTAACAGGCAGCAGATTTTTAACAATCAGAAGTGGAAAACATACTTTTTTTTTAACTTTGAAAGGGGTTTGTTTAACGAACACAGGCTTTTCAGCGTAAAAAAAAAAGCACGTCGAAAACATTTTTTTTACTTTGAGAGGTGTTTGTGCCTATAAACCCACATTTTTTTCAGCAGTAAGTTGAACCATTTTTGACTTTCATAGTTTTTTTTGGCTTCATGGTCCCACAGATTTTTTTTCCGCAGTCCTCCTTCGGGCCCTTTTCCCCTTTCCTAAGTAAGAAAGGAACAAAGAATACACATATTGACTAAAAAAGTTTAATTATAGCCCCCTTTTATTGGGCACGCATATTCTCCCAATAGAAAATAGTAATAATTTCCCAATCCCCACAGGAAAAAAAATTCCCATTGAAAGTTTTCCAAAAAATAAAAACTCTAAAATCTTTTTGCAAATAAGGGCTTTCTTCACTGTAAATAATACGTCTTAAATCTTTTGAAAGATGTCAATATAGTCCTAGGACAGAAATTGTTTCACCCATTTAATCACTGCAAAAATTTCAGTCATGCATTAATTTTCCCCAATTTTTTTAAGAAAAAACACTTTGCTGAAATTCCCAAATTCCCATGGGTATGGGTGGGGTTCCCCAAAAAAACCCGGCCCGGGCCCCTACCGCTTAGCCCCAGCCAAAAATTTAAACCTACGTGAAAATCACATATGAAGAAAAGGGCTTTATGATTTTTTCCCGTACGGCACTTTTTCAAATTATAAAGGAGTTTAAAACTGGGGAATATGTTTAAATTTTTTGGCTCATCATTATGGGTTTTTTTTTTTTTTTTGTATGAAAGATTTTAAAACAAGCACAAAGGTCAAAAAAATAAAGATCGGAAAAAACATTTGGGAAAAAAAAAAAGAAAAATTGAAAAAAATTTAAAAAAAAAAGTGAAAGGGAAAAATTAAAATTTTATAATTTTTTAAATACGTAGAAAATATAAAAATAAAAAAACCCAAACAATCAGTTTTGCCTTAATTTAAAACCTAAAATCAAGAGGATTAATCTTAAAAAATAAACATACAAAGACAATGTTTTCTGTTTCCTTGGGTTTAAAAAAATTCGCTTAATGTAAAACCCAAAAAAGTGTTTTTTTCCTTTTTATTTTAAACTACCCCCCAAAAACCAAAAACGGTTCTCAATAGAAAATAACTTTAAAAATTTCCCCAATTTTCTAATTTTTAAATTTCCCAAAAAATTTGGCGTTGAAAACAACCAAAAGGGCCCAAAAGTGTTTTTCCCTCTAAAATCATTTAAAATTAAAACAAAATTCACTTTAAAATCACCACTCAAATATTTTTTCCCTTTCGATAGGGGGAACTGTTACTATCAAAATATTCATGATGCGGGAATTGTAATTTCTAGCAGAAACAAGAGCTGCCCAAGGGAGAAAAGCGAAGCTGGGAACTAATGAAATTCGGGACGCAAAAGGAGACAAAACTATAAAAAGAAAATCAATTAGTATAAATTAAATTTTTAAATTTTTAGTAAAAAAAAAAATATTTGTTAACATAAAATTCCAAGATCAAGGGGATAATTTTAGAAAAAGTCATGCTAAAAGTTATGGGCCTTTTACACAACCCTTTGTTTTAATTATAAGAAATATATATTTGAATTTGAAGTAGATACCCTTAAAAAAAAAAAATTTTTTATATTTTAAAGAAAAAACCTAATTCAAAGAGAAAAAAAATCTGAAATATTGCATCAAAGATTTTTGAAAAAGTCCCCAAAAAAATTAAATTTTTGATAAGGAATTTAAATTTTAAATTTAGGAATACCTTTAAAAAAAAAAAAAGTTATAAAAAAAAATAAAATTTTTCTAGTTAAAAAAAAACTAAAGGGTTTAAAGGGGAGATAATTCCTTTCCCAAAATTGGTGCTAGAAATTTTTTTAACCTTTTCACATAAATGTGGGTGATTTATAACTAAAATATTTGAAAAATTTTGAAAATTGAATTTCCTTTAAAAAATAAATAAATAAAAAAAAAAAAAAATTTTTTTTGGAAAATTTTTAAGTTCAAAAGGGGGAAAAAAAACTGAAAAAAATTGGTTTCTAGAATTTTTGAAAACCCTTTTAACATAAGATGGGGGTGATGATAAAGTAAACATTTTTAAAATATGAGGTTGACCCTTAAAAAAAATTTAAAAAAGGAAAAAGTAACAAATATTAAATTTTTGAAGGGAAAAATTTTAAGTCAAAAGGGAAAAATAAATCTTTTAAAATATTGGGCTAGAGTTTTGAAAACCCTTTTCACATTTAAATGGGGGTGGAAAGAAAAAGGGACATTTTATAAAGTATTTAGGGTTTATCCTTTAAAAAAAAGGGGAAAAACATAAAAAAAAAATATTTTTTAAGGAAAAATTTTTAAATTCAAGGGGATTTAAACTGAAAAAAATTGTGTTTCAGAGTTAAAAACCCTTTCACATATGAATGGGGTTTTATGATAAGGAACATATTATTTTAAGTTTTTAATTTAAAAACCTTTAAAAAAATTTAAAAAGTTATAGGTGAAAAAATATTTTACTCACCAAAACTTTAATCTAAAATCGGGGCCCGGACCCAACGCCGACCCGGGGGAGGGAGGAAAAGCTTTTCCCCCTAACTTCGTTTTTAAATCGACTAAAAAAATAAAAAGTTATTAAAATTTTTTAAAAAAAAATCCTAATTTTAAAAAGAATAAATCTTAAATTTTTGCTTTAAAAATTAGGGGAAAAATTGTCCAAAAAGTCAAATGTTTAAAAATGAAAGGGATAAGTATTTGAATTTAGGGAGTACCTTTAAAAAAAAAAAAATTTTAAAAAAAAAAATAACGTTTTTCTAGTTTAAAAAAATTTAAGTTTATGGGGGGATAATTTTTGCAATAAATTTTTTTCTAGATTTGAACCTTGCACATTTAAAGTGGATGAAAGATTACGTTAAAAAATATTTGAATATGAAGTTTTTATCCCTTTTGAAATAAATAAATTTTCAGTAAAAAAAAAATAAATTTTTTGGAAAAAAATTTTAAGTTCAAAGGGGGATAAAATTTTGAAAAAAATTGGTGCTAAAGGGTTATAAACCCTTTCCCCAATTTAAAATGGGGGTATGTAAAGTAAATAATTTGAAAAATGGGTGTCTTTAAAAAACAAAAGAAAAAGAAGAATAGATTTTTTAGGAAAAAAACTAAAATTAAGTGGAGATAAAACTGAAAATTGCTAGAGTTACGAAAACCTTCACATAAGATGGGGATATATTAAGGGAAATTTTTGAAGTAGAGGTTTTATCCCCTTAAAATTAAAAAAGTATCAGTAAAAAAAAGTAATTTTTAAGGAAATTCTAAACAAGGGGAAAAATCTGAAAATTGGGGCTTTGATTGAAAAAATTTCACATAAGATGTGTTATGAAAGGAATATTTTGAAGTTTTAAGTTGATAACCCTTTAAAAATACAAGTTATAGTGAAAAAAATTTTATGACCAAATTTAAACTAAAAAAAATTTTGGGCGGGACCCGACCCGGGCGAGTAGACACCTCATATACTTCGTATAGTCGGCTAAAAATGCTTTAAAAAAAACCCAATTTTTAGTCAAAAAACGCTTTTTTCCCCAAACAGTCTGGACCCCGGAAAACCCCAAAATAGAGGAAAATCAGGAAAAAAAAACTGATAAAAAAATGCATTTTTTGACGGGGAGACAAAAACCCCAAAATCCCAAAATTGCCAAAAAAAAACCCCAAATATTGCCTAAATATCCCAAATATTGCCCCAATTATCTAAAAAAAATTTTTATACTAAAAAATTTTTTTAATTAAAAAACCTTTTTATTGTAAGTATTAAAAAACCCTAAAATTTCCATCATTGATAGACGTCCCCTTAATTTATTTAAAACTATTATTTTTTTAAATAAATGACATTGTATAAATTTATATGAATTTCAAAAAAAAGCACCTTTAAAATGTAAATGTAGACAACAAAAATCATATTTATTTAAATTGCAATATTTCATAAAAAAACCTAAGGGGAATCGCCCTTTAAACGAATTTGCCCCATGTCAACCTTTTGGCCCAAAATTTTCCCTCCTAAAAATTTCTGTACCCCTTTTTTCTAGTAAAAAAATGTTTTTTACTTTAGGCAGTGGGTGAGAACGGTTTTTTCTTAATGGCTTTTTCCCCGAAGCGTTTAAAATTCCGGTTCGGCGGTTTTGAACGGAAATTTAAAAAAAATTAAAAACCCTTTTTAACCCAAAAAGGGATTTTTATTAAAACCCAAACGATAAAGACCAAAAAGTAAGTGGCCTTCTTTTTTTTCAATAATTACGTAAAATCATTTTTATTTGCGATATAGCCTCAATAAAATCAGTTAAATCTTTTTATACAAAAATTCCCTTAAAAGCGAAAAGGGATTTTCCATGAATCGAACGGTGTTCGGGGCGGGATTTTTTTAGTAAAATGTATTATGTTAATTCTCAATTAAATTTGATAAATTTTGTAAACGTTAAATATGGTAAAACCCGTACATTTGTTA